CAAATGACAGAGAGCCAAGTTAACTTATACCCAGATAGATAAATGCCTGTTAACTCTTTAAGACGCAGATCTGACTTTGCCCTCTGCAAACGGCTTCCTGGTCATCTGTAGGCAAGGACATGCTTCTTCTTCTATGCCCTGATAATTTGGGGGTTGTTTCTAGGCTACAAAATTTCTCATACTGTTAAAGTTACTTCTAGGCACCTCTGCTTCATTCTTTAGATTATTGTGAAAGAGAAAGAGTAAAGGGAGAAAAGGCAGAAACTGTTACTTAACATCTTCAAATATCCACAATATCTGGGACTTTTCAGATGAATGAATGAAGGAATGAATGAATGCATTTACAAGCTCTCTTGTCCTCTACATAGATTTCCTTGACCCAAATGTATGACCATCAGTCCAGACAAGAAGTAAATTTCCTCATGCTCCATAATATGTAGAGTGTGGTTATTTCTAGGCCATTAAACAAACATACAGAATCTGAAGAAGTGAAAGCCTCATCTCACTCAGTCAACAGCACTATTTTGCTGTCTTTGTTTCTGTTTCTCCAGGATCATAATTAAAGTATGTGTGAGCATGTGTGAGTGTGGGTGTGTGCGGCATCCTCAATAACAGGTGTCCCTCCAGTAGGTCTCAGTGATGATGGAGGGCATGGAGGGGTGTGCCAGGAAGATGGGGAGAGGTGGCCTGCCAAAACCAATCACATTAAATCTTAACGCTCATTCAGGGCCTGTCACTGGAGGAGAAATCTGATGAACACCCGAATGTCAGGGTGTTAATAGCATCTGTTAAATGGCTTGTAAATGTGATTGTTGAGAATTTGACACAGAAATGACACTGTCTACAATCAAAGCAAGGCAGGCTTGGCTTCAAGCCAGCTTCTTCCAAGTCCCTTCACCACGTCAGGCCAGGTGGATGTGGGTTTTGCTGCTACCTGGCCTGGTCCTTTTCCATCATTGTGAGCTTTTTCTCTCTGATTTGTAATGTTTCTTCTAAGAAAAGACTAGTAATCTCTTTACAAAAGATGTATAGTGTCATAATTTTTGCCTGTTCTTACAAGTGAGATTTCTAGCAGCAATAAAGAGAGGTGGGGTTTTTTTTTGTTTGTTTTGTTTTGTTTTTAAGAAAGAAAAAAAAATAGTATACATAGGGTCTGGTACTTTCACGGGTGGTCTTTGAATATATCCCCCATGGATGAGAGGGGGCTACTGTAGTCCTTTTTCTTAGGAATAAACTTTTCATGGATATCCTATTCTACCCTCTCCTATATTTGGTAGAAAGGGTATACGCATAACAGAAAATGTTTCATATTGATTTAAACATCCACAGGATGAATCTATTTCATTGCATATCCAGGCAGCAATCATAGATTCAGTTACAGACCTTGGAAGTAATCTACCAACCTTCTCAGGGTAAAGTTGAGGAGATTAATTTTCTCCTGCAAAGTAACTGAGCTACTTTTAGGTGGACTGGACAATAGCCCAGGTTACTGATGGTCAATCCAGCACACCGTTTAGCATCCCCCATTTGTCTTCAGTAACGAGAAACACAGGCTGCTCTTGATGTCCGCTGGGTCTGCGGACATCTCTGACATCCTCTGTTATGTGCCACCCCTGTCTCTGAAGAGGGGATGCTGGGATCTCCAAAGTGCCACGTAAGCCCCCACCCGTGTAGGTGAGGACCGAGTCCCCATGAGGCAGAGTGACCTCAGGCTGGACAGCACAGGACACCGCAGGGAACAGGCAGCCCAAACTAACTCGTTATCATTGTTTACTTGGGAGGACAAAACTTTGCCTGCCCGGGTCCTTTTCTTTCAACCCCGGGTGCTGACAAAAAATGATTTCTCAAAGGCCTGGCTTAGAAAAATGACAGTCCTTCCCATCTCCACTCTGTTTGCCACTGAGGTGCTTCTCGCTCTTCAGGTGCAAAGACCTGAGGTACTTTCCTGGTCGACTGAAGTGCTGGCTGCAGTGCCTGCTCCTGTCTTCCTTCTGCAATTGTGGTAAATGATGTGCTCCTGCTACTGCAACTCTTTAGCCCGAGTTGGAACTTGTTTCTGCTCCTCAAAGGCCCTGGAGATTAAGATCCCTCCTCCTCCTGCTTCCCTAGCCTCTCTCGACAATTCAGTTCCTGCCCCCTAGGCTCCGCCAACAGGACTCTTTCACCTCGCCTTTGCCCTGTCTCTTCTTTCCAGTGCTGCGAGCCAAGCTGTGTGTGCTGGGTTTAATGGCTTTTCTTGAAGTTAGGTTACCCTCCGCATTCTCATTCGTCTCCTAGGGCTGCCATAACACATTACCGTGAACTTGGCAAGGCTTACAACAACAGACATTTACTCTCTCGCAGTTCTAAAAGCCACACCCCCTCTGAAGGCTGCACAGGAGAATCATCCTTGCCTCTGGCAGCTTCTGGTGGCTCCAGGCGATCACTGGCTTATGGCTGGATGATTCCAGTCCCTGCCTCCGTCTTCTCACATGGCCGTCTCCTCGTCCCTCCGTGTGATCTCTTTCTGTCTCTATAAGGGCACTTGTCATTCACTGGCTTATGGCTGGATGATTCCAGTCCCTGCCTCCATCTTCACATGGCCATCTCCTCGTCCCTCCATGTGATCTCTTTCTGTCATAGGGGTTAGGGCCTATCCAGATAATCAGGGTAATCTCATCTTGAGATCTTGAACTTAATCACTTCTGAAAAGGTCCTTTCCCCAAGTAAGACTGCGTTCACAGGTTCTCAAAGTAGGATATGAGTGTATCTCTTTGAAGTCCATCACTCAACCCATACACCCTCCTCTAAGCAATGCTGTTAGAGACAGGAACGATTCAAGTGTGGAGTGCTGCTTATGCACTGGGTACAGGATATTAGTGCGGCATTGGAGATACAAGACGAGTAAGGCATGGTTTCCACCCTCTAGAAGCTCTTAATCTGGTAAATCAGACAGAAAAGCAAGGCTGATCATTACAATTCAACGTGAAAAAACCACTGGAAAAGCCCCATCCCTCCAGGACTCTGTGGCCCACGTCCCCGGTAACTCCCACATTCCAAGCGGTGTCGCCCTCTTTCTGTTCACACACCACTGCATCTGCTTAACTGGAAAAATGAAAACTGGTGGAGGAACGGGGGTGTCAATGGGAACAAGGGAGATTTTTTTCCCCTGGAGAAATGTTTCTAGGCCACAGACATATCCATCTGAATATTAAAAATAAGGCGGACATTTGGTAAGAACAGAGCACTGGGGCGCAATGTTTCCGAAGACAGAGCGGAGAACATCTCAGAGTCAGAAACGGCTCAGACTTGGACAGAAGTGACGGCTCCCTGAAAAGACCTCCACGTATCTGTGCACAAATCAACAGCCTGGATGAATGCCAGGAAGCAAGCGCACTCCTTCGCTGTGGAACTGTTTAAACATCTTAACGCCGTGGTTATGCAGGGCTGTGTCTGAGCTCCCATGTGAGACCTCGCCTGTGTAGCGCTCTGCACAGGAGATGGCCTGCGTTACAGACAGGAACACAGGCAGGCACTTTCTGCCACTTCAAAGAGACAGTCCTAGAGCCTCTTCCTAATTCCCAAGGGGCAGGGAAAGGGATGTGGGATATGGGAGGTGAAATTTCATTCAGGACGATAAGAACGCCAGGTAGAGAGAAATCAAATAAATGTCTTGTCAAGCGATTCTAGAGGATTCCTAGCTCAGAGCAGATATTTCTTTCTGTAGCAAAGCCTTCCGCAATTTAGAAGATGAATTGTGGGTAATATTTACACCCTAGAGATGATCCATACAGATTTAAAGGAGATGGGCAAGTAGGCAATGTGCAGACTTTATTTCTGAATCAAATAAAACTCAATTCTGATTGCTAGAGCAACTCCTTTGCTTTTTTTTTCAAGTAGCATCTTATAGTAAAATGACCTTTCTTCTGATTTTTTTCATAGTCAAGACTCAGTGAATAAGACATAATCGTCCTAAATCAGCCCTTGTGTCCAGTGCCTGCAATTATCTTTAAAAATGAAGTATGTCCTGGAAGAGAGTTTCTAAGAAAACTGGCAAAGGTCCACCAGTTAGCCAAATAAGTTAAAGGCACAACTGCAGAATTTTCTAGAAAGCCACACTGTAGCAACTCTGTCCCGTGAAGAACCTTTTCTGCAGGAGGTAAGTGACAGAAAACACTATGCTGCGGATTCCAATTTTTTGCTCTAAAAGGGACTAATGTTGAATCCTGAGAGTAATATTTTGACAAGTAAAAACAATTATAGTCATAATTATTTTACTATCCTTAGTACCACAAAGGAGACTACTTCCCTACACCTCCTCATACAGCTCAGAAATATTATGAAAGGGGGTGGCCTGGCTAACTCCCAGGTTACACTTTAATAAAAAAAGGATGATTTATACCGACCTTATCTAGCTCATAAAGATCAGGGTGACCCCAGCCAAATACTCAGTTACATTATGCAAGCAAGTTCACCACAAAAATTGGTTTCAATTTATTTCTCCTTCCTAATTCAGTCTACCAGAAAAAGCAAGAAATGCCATCCTTCAAAGAATAGGGCCAAATGCAGATGGTGGATTCTCTCTATTGGTCTCATTTGGGAAGATGTCAGCATGATGCACTGGTTGTTAGCCGAGGAAGCCAAATACTCAGTTACATTATGCAAGCAAGTTCACCACAAAAATTGGTTTCAATTTATTTCTCCTTCCTAATTCAGTCTACCAGAAAAAGCAAGAAACGCCATCCTTCAAAGAATAGGGCCAAATGCAGATGGTGGATTCTCTCTATTGGTCTCATTTGGGAAGATGTCAGCATGATGCACTGGTTGTTAGCCTAGGGCAGTGGTCGGCAAACCCTGGCTCGAGAGCCACATGCGGCTCTTTGGCCCCTTAAGTGTGGCTCTTCCACAAAATACCACGTGCGGGCGCACACGTACAGTGCAATTGAAACTTCGTGGCCCATGCGCAGAAGTTGGTTTTCGGCCTGGACTAGTCTATTTTGAAGAAGTGGCGTTAGAAGAAGTGGGGGGTGTCGGTCAGTCGGGCGACGGGAGACGTAGCACAGGCGGGCCGCAGGATATGCAGCGCTGGGGAGGTACACTGTTTTGAGGTACGTTTGCTGAGGTCGACCCCTTCCAACTTTCCCATCCACACTCGTCTATCTGAAACAAGTATACAAGACGAGTGTGGATGGGAGAGTTGGAAGGGGTCGACCTCAGCGAACGTACCTCAATCAGATTGAGGACGTTTTTTAGCAAAGGCCAGCTTAGGAGTACCCTAATTAAGTTAATAACAATGTACCTACCTATATAGTTTAAGTTTAAAAAATTTGGCTCTCAAAAGAAATTTCAATCATTGTACTGTTGATATTTGGCTCTGTTGACTAATGAGTTTGCCGACCACTGGCCTAGGGTAACCAGCTTATTGGCTCCTGCTGTCCCAGACTTTGTCCATGGTACCTCATCACCTCCCATCCTGCTCCAGGGGTTCCAAATCTCAGGTCCGCTAGTGCAGCTGCACCTCTTGGGTAGCACCGTCCTAAGCAAGATGTGGATGCAGTAAGCAAAGTGCAGGAAGGCTGATTGGTCAGTCCATTTCACCTTACATAGCAGGTTGAATGGAGGCCTCTGTAAAGTATGTCTTGGACCCTGTGAATGTGACCTTACCTGGAAAAGGGGTCTTTGCAGATGTAATTAAGAATCTGGTGATGAAACAGCCGAATAATCCCAGTGGTTCCTACATCCAATGACAAGTGTCCTTATAAGAGACACAGAGAGCAGACACATGGAGAAGAAGAGAAGGCCGTGGAAGATGGAGGAGGACCTTGGAATCATGACCCTATAGCCAGAGAATGCCTGTAGTCACCAGAAGTTGGAAGAGACAAGGAAGGATTTTTCTCCCCTAGAACCTTCTGAACAAGTACCAGGCCCTGCCAACACTTTGATTTTAAACTTTTGGCCTCCAGAGCTGTGAGAAAATAAATTTCTTCTATTTTAAGCCACCCCAGTTCGTGGTGATTTGTTAACAGCAGCCTGGAAAACTCACAAATACTTTACTTCATTTTCAAAGACAAATCACATTCTCATGATACCAAAGGCCTAGTCACACTATTATCAAACTCACTGGTCTGAAACTTGAAACCTCACAGGTTGCTTTCATTTTATAATTGGGCAAATCTCAGATTAATCAATTAGTCAATAAACACATTTAAAACCTACTAATTTTCTGTAGCAAGAAAAAGACAATGGAACTAGAAAATATTGCTAGACATTTGCTTAAGATTTTCACCGCGATGCATTATAAACATAAGTGTGATACATCTTTGAGGTTGTCTGTCCTCAACAACTTAATCTCCTTTCTCTGAAAATCACACCCACATCCACAGAATTAAGCCCCAAGACAGGCTTGGATCGCATGACTACCCTCCACCCCTTATTAGACTGGTTATAATTGACTATGGCAGGGATGGACAATGACCCAAGCTGGACCAATCACACTATCTTTCCTGGGTACTTAAAATTGGGATCAAGATAGCTAACTGGGCTGGGTGGGTACTGGAAGAGAGGTAAACTAAGCAGCTATAAGGCCATCTTCCTGCATTTTTACAGAGAGAGAAAAATGCCAGAGGAAAACAAAGATCAGAAACACAAAGAGGGACCTCCCTGAATTCCTCCTGGCACCCCTAAGCCCTCATTACAATCTCTCAAGAAGCCCTATAGCCCTTAGACTCTGCAACATTCCAATATCCTCTCTACATCTACATTTTTGCTCAAACCAGTTCAAGCTGATTTCTGTTGTTAGAAACCAGGAGAAACTTGATTAAGAAAGACCTAAATGATCACAACAAATAAAACTAATGTATAAAGATTTACATTTCACAATGAACATATGTAGAGATAAATTTATATATATATATTTACAGACAATACATACAGCATTCCTTAACCACCCACAAAATACTTTTGGATCTAAAAATTTAAGAAATTCTTAAGTTTTGCATCCTTGCTTTAAAGAAACTATTAATTTTATTCCACCCATTGCTCACTAAATTAGAATTTAACAAGTGTTTATTGCAGGCATACTAGAGAGGGTTCTGAACAATTTTTTTTGAAAGTCCTTTCTTTCCCTTAAAGTACTTATGACCTAATTAAGAATATAAAATACATACAATGACCTAGTGCCCATAACTCACCTTCTCATAATCACTGGTAGTTTTCAACTTGCATAAATTGAAAACGTCTCTATACTCCATTCATTCACACATTGCACACCAACACCTCTCAACTAGTTTTTGTATGCCAAACTCAGATCTCTATAAATCATCTGAGAATGAACACTTTGAGCTATTGCATGGTGGTGCTGTCAGCCAAGAGATGAGTTTTGGCAGTGTTGCCGTTTTTATCTGCACAGCAATGTTTCTGCAATTATTTGGAAATTTTTATTGCATTTTTCCCCTATGGTTTATAAAAATAAGTGGGGAGATGGAAAAGTGAAAGTACTTAAGTGTCATTCTCATGAACTTAACACAATCGAGAAGCTGGAAATAGGTGAAGGAAAAAAACTAAGAAATTTTGATGAAATTCTGTAAATATATCTTCCAAGAGTAAATGGAAAAGCAGAGATATGGTAGAGATTTAAACTTAAAAAAATTATAAATGTATTGGGGTGACATTGGTCAATAACATTAAATAAATTTCAAATGTGCAATTCTATAATAATCATCTGTTATTGCATGTGTGCTCACTACCCAAAGTCAGGTCTCCTTCTGTCACCATATAGTTGATCCCCTTTACCCTCTTATACCTGCCCCCATGCTCGCTTCACCTCAGCTAACCACCACACTGTTGTCTGTGTCAATGAGATTTTTTATTGTTTGTTTGTTCATCTGTTGCTTCCTGCTTTATATCCCACATATGAGCGAAGTAACATGGTTCTTGTTTCACTTAACATCACACATTTTTATAGGCTTTTGGTAGTGGAATCCCTTCCTCTTCTATTGTTCTTCTTTCCCACACTCCCGTGGAACGGAAGTTTTCAGGAGGGCACTGCTGAAAGAGTAGTAAACCACCTGGAGATCAGCATAGTGATAAGGAAGGCACTTGTTTTCGGCTAACTCACTCCACCCCCTCTTGATAGTTCACTTATTATGCCTTCCTTGTTGTAGGAGCCTTGGTTTAGCCCAATGGTTCTCAACCATAGGTGACACTTTTGCCCCCAGGAGACATTTGGCAATGTCTGAAGATGTTTTGATTGTCACCCTTGGGTGTTGGGGGCACGCTATTGGCAGTTAGTGGGTAGAACTTAGGGATGCTGCTAAACACCCTACATTGAATAGCCCCTTACCACCATAATTATCTGGCCCCAAATTTCAGTTAGAGCTGCCAAAGTTGAGAAAACCATTAGCTCCCAAACTCTGCTCTTGATTGAGGAATTATCTTTCCAGTTTAATACTCCCTGAATGCAGTTAGGTAACCTCTCTCTTGATGGGTTTACCTCTCTAATTTGTGCAGGGTGAGTGACTGCACAGAGATGGATATGGGTTTGGAAAGGAACTAGAGAATAACCATTATTTACTGAACTATGAGCTGTGAGCACTATATGTCGGCCAAGCACTGTTCTAAGAGCTCTACACACAAGACCACATTTAATCCTCATAAGAACCCTAAGAGGTAGATCCCCTATGGTCCTCAGTTTTCAAATGAGAGATCTCAGGCTAAGAAAAGTTACATGAGATGTTAAATTCACAGAGGTCTTGACTGCCCAGCTGAGCCAGGACTGGAATGGAGGGAATCTGACTCAAGAGCCAGATAGACTCCATGGATGCATGAAAAACAGATGAGGTTCTAGCATAGCATGTAAAGGAAAGAAGACAAGGAGAACCAAGAAGAGACACACTTGAGGAGACCAGTGGGTCAGGAACAGGCTTCTTTATGCTGAACTCAGCTGCAGAAGTTACAGGTTTGAGCCCTCGGACTTAACCTTGGGCTTTGCTGTATAACGCTGTCACTTCGTGGCTCTCTAGTGACATGTAGAAAAGAGGCATTTCTCTCCCCTCCCCTCCCCCCGAGACACACTACATTCTTTTAACCCAGAACTTGTTTTGTGCAAAAGCTGCAGAATTGTAAAGAGGAGCAGAAAGCACATGATGTGTTTAAATATGCTGGAGCAATATGCTGACCAGCAAGGTCTGTTTATTAAAATCTTTATGTGGGGTGAAGCTCCATTGAGCTATGTCAGCTGGTTTCTGGAGAGGCCCTGTTTTCAGGATCAGGCTGCTGTTTGTCTTCTTTACTGAGCTGACAGGGGACATTCGGGAGAATACATTATGCCAAAAACATCTGTATTATAGAAAATCAACAATGAAGAGCAACAGCTCCAAATGGAGTTAGTGCTTTGAAAGGCTTTTATCTGTCAATAGATTAAACTGCTATTTTTATCGAAGGAGGAAACCAGAGGAAGTGGAAACCAGTTTGAGAACAGCAGAAACGCCTGCTCATTTCTGCCAAGTTATTTTTGCACGCTCGCTCGGAGGACATAGGGTGGATTTTGTTTTGTTTTGTTTTGTTAATCAATGTTTAAAAAATGGTTAAAGGACTATGTTACTCCAAATTAGAGTGCTCAAGGCTGATTTTTTTTTCTTTTATCACCCCTCCCCTCACTTTGCACTGAAATGCATGCCTCTGAATGAGACACTGTGCTATGGGTTTGCCTCTAATGAAGAACTGGGCCTTCCTATTTAAGACTCAGAGTGCCACAGCACAGCCTGATGTCACAGCAACTAAAGTTGTCACCAACGTCTTCATCAGGTAATAAATTTCTAACATATAGCAAGCACTTACTATGACTAAGTATTTTCCATTTATTATTTCATTTAATCCTCACACTCTATGAGCAAGATACTGTTATGATCTGGGTGTGTGTTTTTTTAGTAACTTTTTATTAAAGTATAACATACATACAGATAATTAACACAAATTTTAAGTATGGGACTCAGTGTATTTCACAAACGGAGCACACCCACGTAACCACCACCCAGAACAAAAACCAGAACTCCTCCAGCCCTCTCCCACCCACACCCAGTCACACTCCCTCAAGGGTAACCACTATTTC